TGTTAAATTATCAACTCCAGATAGATTTGGTGTTTAACACTAAATCAGAGTTAACGTACCAACTCTCCAAAAAGAGTTAAATTAACACTCTCTGGTGTGGACCCATATAGACACTTTAATAGTGTTGAAATCAAATCCGACAGTGTTAATTTGGACATGCTGGATTTGCTGTGTAGAAGACTGGCAAAATTATGGAAGAAACACATTAACAAGAGAATTCTGAGTAAAACCAAAGTTACTTTCCCTAGTAACTAGTTACTTTGAAAGTAACGAGTAACTTGAAGTAACTGAGTTACTTTTGAGAGAAGTAACTAGTAATGTACCTAAGTTACTATTTTAAAGTAACTTACCCAACACTGCCTAAAATACGCCAGCAACTACCATGTTCTTTATGTCAGATTTTTATAGACAAAACCAAAACAAAGAGATTTCATACCTCCAACTTCTTTGAGTTTAGCGGTTGCTTCTTTCCTTGTTTATTCCACTAAGTCGATTACAGAGGCATCAATGTGACTTTAAAGACAACAGGACACACGGACCATCAGAAGAGAAGAGAGGAGGAACAAGGCTTGACTGAGAGGAACAATTCACTATACACTATATTCACTTCCTTTGTCTGGGGCTTTGAAATTGTATTAAAAAGAATATCATCTTTTTTTATTTATTTCTTTTTAAATTTAGCTCTTGAATACTTTCAGTTTCACTTCTCACCATTCAGTTTCAGTTCTACAATTCAATTTCAGTTCTTAAATCCAGTTTTGGGGTCATACACTGGGGTACTTCGAGAAAGCCGCACAGTAATGAGTGCTGATTAATAGAGCTACGTTGTACCTGTGGGCCCAGTGTTACTGAGTGGACCTACAGCATCTTCAGCTGGAGTGGGCCTCAGATTAAGTATTCAGAAGTCATTCATCATGTAAAATGACCGGCGGATAAAATCTCAGGTTGGTAATAAATGTATTACATTTATAAGAAAAAGCATCATGTGAACAAATGATAGTAACTTGTAGCTGTTAGCTAAAAATGCTAATTTAGCCTAGTTTGCCCTGGGTTCAGCTTTGACAAATATGAGCGACTATTTCCAATAGAATTCCAAAGTTGTCATCTTGTACCCTCTCAGAGTCGTCGTGCAGCTCAGCCACACCTGAGGTCATATTCCATGTGGTGTTCATGCAGTTTTCTACCCAACAGTTACAGCATGTCGGACTGCCTGATCAGCATACTGTATGTAAATAACATATGAGTTCAAGCATGTGATGACAAAGGCCAGACATCTGGATGATTATATGAATTAAACAAAAAAACTAAAGAAGACGTGTTACTTCATCTTTTATCTTTATTATTATTAATATTATTAATTTATTTTTTTACATTTTTCATTGTTAGCCATTAGGTTTATTTTTAGTAGTCCTTGCCAACTTCTCTCCCTCCTCCATGTTACTGTGTCTGTTTGGCAGCATCTACAGGGAGTGCAGAATTATTAGGCAAATGAGTATTTTGTCCACATCATCCTCTTCATGCATGTTGTCTTACTCCAAGCTGTATAGGCTCGAAAGCCTACTACCAATTAAGCATATTAGGTGATGTGCATCTCTGTAATGAGAAGGGGTGTGGTCTAATGACATCAACACCCTATATCAGGTGTGCATAATTATTAGGCAACGTCCTTTCCTTTGGCAAAATGGGTCAAAAGAAGGACTTGACAGGCTCAGAAAAGTCAAAAATAGTGAGATATCTTGCAGAGGGATGCAGCAGTCTCAAAATTGCAAAGCTTCTGAAGCGTGATCATCGAACAATCAAGCGTTTCATTCAAAATAGTCAACAGGGTCGCAAGAAGCGTGTGGAAAAACCAAGGCGCAAAATAACTGCCCATGAACTGAGAAAAGTCAAGCGTGCAGCTGCCAAGATGCCACTTGCCACCAGTTTGGCCATATTTCAGAGCTGCAACATCACTGGAGTGCCCAAAAGCACAAGGTGTGCAATACTCAGAGACATGGCCAAGGTAAGAAAGGCTGAAAGACGACCACCACTGAACAAGACACACAAGCTGAAACGTCAAGACTGGGCCAAGAAATATCTCAAGACTGGTTTTTCTAAGGTTTTATGGACTGATGAAATGAGAGTGAGTCTTGATGGGCCAGATGGATGGGCCCGTGGCTGGATTGGTAAAGGGCAGAGAGCTCCAGTCCGACTCAGACGCCAGCAAGGTGGAGGTGGAGTACTGGTTTGGGCTGGTATCATCAAAGATGAGCTTGTGGGGCCTTTTCGGGTTGAGGATGGAGTCAAGCTCAACTCCCAGTCCTACTGCCAGTTTCTGGAAGACACCTTCTTCAAGCAGTGGTACAGGAAGAAGTCTGCATCCTTCAAGAAAAACATGATTTTCATGCAGGACAATGCTCCATCACACGCGTCCAAGTACTCCACAGCGTGGCTGGCAAGAAAGGGTATAAAAGAAGAAAAACTAATGACATGGCCTCCTTGTTCACCTGATCTGAACCCCATTGAGAACCTGTGGTCCATCATCAAATGTGAGATTTACAAGGAGGGAAAACAGTACACCTCTCTGAACAGTGTCTGGGAGGCTGTGGTTGCTGCTGCACGCAATGTTGATGGTGAACAGATCAAAACACTGACAGAATCCATGGATGGCAGGCTTTTGAGTGTCCTTGCAAAGAAAGGTGGCTATATTGGTCGCTGATTTGTTTTTGTTTTGTTTTTGAATGTCAGAAATGTATATTTGTGAATGTGGAGATGTTATATTGGTTTCACTGGTAAAAATAAATAATTGAAATGGGTATATATTTGTTTTTTGTTAAGTTGCCTAATAATTATGCACAGTAATAGTCACCTGCACACACAGATATCCCCTAAAATAGCTAAAACTAAAAACAAACTAAAAACTACTTCCAAAAACATTCAGCTTTGATATTAATGAGTTTTTTGGGTTCATTGAGAACATGGTTGTTGTTCAATAATAAAATTATTCCTCAAAAATACAACTTGCCTAATAATTCTGCACTCCCTATATTTGGGGTTGAGAGTGGAACAGAAAGTAAGTAAATCCAAAGAGCCATTAAAACCAGGAGAGGTTCATATATTTCAGAAGAAAGGATTATTAAAAAGAATTCAAAAGAAATGACCTCAATGCCATACGTGATTTAGGAACCCTAGACAGCACTTTGCAAAATAACACATTTTTATACTTTCATACTCTGATGGGCCAAGCTGCACCTGTCAGGGAATGTGTCTGTGTGTGTCAGTGATGTCAGAGCACGTGAGAGTGGTCAAGTAAATGTCTCTTCCAAAACTAGATGAAGGCACAAGAGAGATTAATGGCAAGGCATTCAGATTCAATATCTTCAGTCTTCAGTGGATATTCTGGCACAAATATACCTGTAAAAGTAGATTTAGCAGGTGTTTGGTCACCTGACAACTTCTGCCTGTCAAACATAACAATGTATGTATGTTTAAAAAAAAAAAATTAATCATACACTCAGGTACCCAAGAATTATTAATAATAATTATTGTAGTTAAACAGAAAGTCATTGATCATATCATGTCAGACAGAGGTGATCCAGTGATGCTGCACTAATGAATTAGACTAACAATTCACTTTAGCTAAAGTTATTGAGTTAGCTAAGGACTTGGGATGCTGTGTAAGACATAAATGAATCTATATATATATCTATAATCTATAATCTATATATATAAATACAAAGGTTTGGACATTCATTTGCATGTTTCTCTATTGTAGGGGTTTCTGCAAGCATACAGGGCTTTCAGAACTGAACTGAAAAGTGAGAAGTGAAACTGAAAGTATTCAAGAGCTATTTAAAAAAAAAGATGAAATACAATTTAAAAGCAATCAAGTCGTTTTCAAAATATAAAATGCAGTTTTATTTTAGTGATGATCATTTTCAAACCAATACATTGCATTTCAAATTATGATAATTGAAATTCAGTTTCAGAAGCTTTTATTCAAGTTGAGCAAATCAGAATCAAATGTAATGTATTTCAATGTAGTTTCTGATGGCACAAAGTTCTGCCTATATTAATGGTGAATAAAGAACGGAAACTGTTTGTGGTAATAAAACAGTGTTAGATTTTAACATACTTGAAGTAAAGGCTGTAGGAACCCCGTGGTGGATGATTGTTGCGGTGTGCAAACTATTTATTATTCTTAACGATGATGGCCATTCATTTTGTTGTGACTATAACTGTTGTCTTTTGTGTTATCATTACAATATTTGATCTTTCTTATCAGCAAGTATATCTAACAGATGACATAATTTATTTTGATTTTTGAAATTTGAATGTAACTTTAAAGCTCAAAAAACATTATTTCTAAGAAACTATTACTATTAATAAGACACAATAGACCTAACAATCCCGTGCGGCCATATTATGGGCAAAGCTCTCTGGGTTAAGCCTTTGTGAAGGAGAGTCGATGCACTTCTATATCCTTGGGAACCCGCAGGTTATGTTTATGTTGCTCCAATAAAAATGTATTTCTGTTCAGAAGTGAGTGAGTGAGTGAATATTTACAATTATGTATAAAAGTGACTGAGTTGATTAGCTAGTGTAACACAAGTACTCTGAGCAATTCTGTGTAATCGACAGATGCATTAAAGATCTAACATCCTGGATTTTCATGTTACACTGTGAATAGTGATTTTGACCATGAAATTACTGAATTGAACAAAGGTGATATATTTAGTGATATTCTTTATTGAATATAACTGTTATGGAAAGAAAAGGTGATCATTGGAGAAACTGAAGCAGTTTAAAGAGAACATGTTTCACTGGAGTTGTGAGATGGTTGAATGTAGGTGATGTTGACAAAACCAGCTGAATTGTAATAGTGAAAGCTCATGTTTGGTGTTTACATAGCATTTATTTAATGTGAAATAAATCAGACTCAGACACGTTCTGGAGGAAAACAGAGATGCATCGTGTTCTTATTACCCTACTCTACACCTGCTTTTACAGGTAACATATTTGTCACCTTGGGACCCATAACATAAGTGGAAAAAAGATAGGCTGCAGGTGTCTTTTCTTATGATGAGAGACAGTCTGTACAGGTATCAGGACATCAGAACTAAAAAAAAACGTGAACATATTTCCCCAGTACTTGCCTCTCTTCACTGGCTCCCTGTTTTCTTCAGAATTGATTTTTACATTTTATTGTTGACAACGAATAAAATGTAATAAAATGTAATAAAAGGTATTTTACTGGGTAGTATTGGATAGTATTGTTGGCTTGGTATGTCTGTCTGGTAACAATCATTTATGCAGAAACACTCTCAGGTGTCATTCCAAAGCCTTAATGCTTCTAGATTTAAGTCTTGATTTTGGAGCAGACAGAAGGCCCTCATTAAAGATCTGAGCCAACAGACTCATACAGGCACAGTTTTTCTCCTGTGTTCCAGGAAATTCAGCCTGCTGTCTGAAAGAACTGACAAATTTGGCATCCTGACCTTGAGACAGGATGTGGTTAGCTTAGCTTAGAAGTACAGCTAGCTTGGCTTTGTTCAAAGTTAAAGATATAGCAGATGTACCTCTGGGAGTCTTTGGTCTGATGAGTATGTAATACTGTATTATAACATTACAGCTATGGCAATATGTTTTTGTTACATCCTGCAGTGAAATATATATATACATATATATATACATATATACATATATATATACATATATACATATATATACATATATACATATATACACATATACATATATACACATATACATATATACACATATACATATATATACATATACACATATATATACATATACATATATACACATATACACATATATATACATATACATATATACACATATACATATATATATGTATATACATATACATATATACATATATATATACATATATACACACACACATACACATATATATACATATATACACACACATACATATATATACATATATACACACACATACATATATATACACACACACACACACATATATACACACACATA